CCTAAATCTATGCGCCCACCGCGCCGCGTCACATCGCCTCTCCGAGAAACATGCGCACGCCACCTCTGGCTGCTCCCCTCGAAGGACGCGCTAGATGACGGTTTGCCCCATTCGATGGGCCGAGAACCGCCACATGTAAGGAGGGATACGGAGCTAAAAACGATCCCACGGCCCGTTCAGGCCCAGGAGTTCGAAGGTTGGCCCACCGACGGGTTCACAACCATTCTAGGGTGCCTTTAGAGTGTGGGGTGGAAAGGGATGGGCCCGCTAGTGGCCAGTACCTGGGCGCACGAGCGCTCCAGGCATCCCAACCCACGTTCGAGTCTTGCCCGCACCCATGGTTTTTCCTCGATGAAAGGCAACGAGCCCTTGGGACCGGTCGAACGGACCTAAGAACTATATGGATTGGGCGCCAAGAATCTAGAGTCGGTCACCAGCTGACCCATGCCGGACCCCCACAAATGGGAAGCTAGGGGCCCTACTCAGACTGGCCCGCTAACAACTCACCGAGCACCATGATTCATCCATCGAGGAAAACATGGCACGGCTTAGCGCCTTCGTTTTATCCAAAAACGCTAGAGGGAGAACGATCACAAGACGAGCTGACCCCTCGACCGGACCCCTGCTACGCGCGGGGGCTCGAGGGGAGTTGGACTCACAAGGAGACCGAATAAGCGGTCACATGACGATGGCGGATCGATCAGATCCAAGGTAGGGATTGGAATCAAGAGAAATCTTTTCCGCCCCCGAATCCCGCAACTACATATAGAAGGGATTCGGGGGGGCGGAACATGTAGTTGCGGGATTCAACCAGCTGATGACGTCGGGGCATGGCACCCATGGTGAACAGGATGCCAACGTGGAGCCGTCTCCGTCACCATCTACAGCGTCGGCGGGATCCGTATAAAGGAGAAAAAGGACCCCACGGCCATGGAGGCCTTGTTCTCCTCTTCTTTCCCTCTGTAACCTGCGCCTTCTCCTTCTCCTATAAAAGGGGAAGCAGGACGCTACAAGGGGAGGAGGAGGACAGAGCGAAATGAACACACAGCTGAACGAGCTCAGCAAGACTCGATTCCATTCAATTTTTTCTCCAAAGACTTGAGAACTTCTCCCTCTCTCGCCCGTTTGTAACCCCTACTATAAACTAGTGCCGATAACACGAGCAGCAGTAGCAAACTGGACGTAGGGACATTCCGTCCGAACCAGTATAAATCCTTGTGTCCTCTGAGCACCCCATCCGGACCAGACGCATAGATACAAATTTACTAGTCGGTGATCCAAAACACTAACACATATCGAAATGTGAAAGTTTACAATGGCCCATCAAGGCTAAGAGCCTCTTCATAAATTGTGCTTTTCGGTGTAGGTGGTGTTAATTACACAACATCGTGTTAGTACACGAAGATCACTTTCACATTTCGATGAATACATGACAGTGGCGGAACTAGAGGGCCCGTATCTCTGGTGCAGTAGATTTTAGATTTGGGTTATTAAGCCGAACTAGTAAATCATGAAACATTAATCATCTAGCTTTTGTGGCTGTGATTTAAATGTGAGGAAGAAGCAATGTTGGAGCTGGTCAAGGGGTGCTTAGGCCTATAGTGTCAGGCAAAGACCTTTGCACGTCACTGTTGAGAAAGCAAATGTGAGGGGCGTCCACTTAACCTTATATAACTTTTCACTCACTCAAAAGGGATAAATTTAATATGACCACCTCTTTGAAAAAAAAATTATGGTCTTCAACGTGAGGACAATATTCAACCATAAAACTATGAGATAGTTTTCATACTTATCAATTAATATAAAAATTACACTACTAAAGAATAGGCAACCACTGCTCGACTATCGCTACCCGTTCGTGGCGTAATCACTGCCCGACTATCACAGCCATTTCGTGGCTTCTAACTGACGGTGATAGTGGACTTTCACTGTCAGTTCATAGCTACAGCCGGTAGTGATGGGTTGTTCTGCATACAAAAAAAATCATAATTTCTTCATATAAGGTCAGATCAAGATAAAGTTTTATACCAAAATTGTTTGATTGACCGGCTGTATTTCCTATATGACGCAGTACACTTAGGCCTAAAGGATGGTTCGTGTGACATTTGGATCCATATAGCAGACCTAGACACGGTCCCGATGGATCTAAAGTTTCATCAGGTCCCGGCGTCCCAATGTCCCATGAATCATGACGATGAAACAATTTGTTTGTTTGCTTGGTACCCTGTGCAGGTGCAGCGGTGCCATCATCCATCATCTGTATTGTCAATTTCATTCTTGCTAGGGCTAAACGATGGACCCTGGCGATCTGGCTAATCGACCTCGCACACTGCTGGCCCCCGGAATTTGACCACGCTGACAATTGCACAGCAAGACCGCAGCCTGCTCCGAGACCCACCACCTGTTTGTGCACTTGTGCCGTCAGCCCCGGCGGGGACGACGCGTCCAAAGCGACGCCGGCCAAAGCGACTTATAATAAAAGCCGGCCCATCGATCGGCATCGGTTTAGCAGCAGCAGTGCAGACAGCAGCCTCAGCTGCAGGTGCAGCAAACGAGCAAGAATGAGTGGTCCAGTTACGTGGATGTGTGCATGCATGATTGTCTGCTGAGCTTCGGCAGCTGCCAGCTAGCCCCGTGTTTTTATATTTACCTTCATTTGTGGGACAAAATTCAAACCCACGTGCTTTTATTCCGGGACACTGTGTGCACATGTCTTGTTCGCTTGTTTTTTTATTGCGTACAACACACAACCTACATACTCCACACTCCGTACACATGAAAAGAAGAGACCAGGAGGATTTTTAGTCTCCAGTGCGCGGAAAACACATACTACCACCGAATACGCACGCATGTATGTACCTTGCTTTTTCTGAAAAAATCCAGAAAATAGGTGCGACACATTTCAAACCCTAGTCCTACTGGACTGTCCTCCACTAGACCGCAGGCCATTCGCGTCTTGTTCTCTTGTTGATTTGCCGCTGAATTTACCACGCGCCCAAAGTGGACGACGGTTTTGGCGCGCATCTCGGGACAGGACAGGCGCATGCGCATCATGCATGAGAATAGCAGATTTGAGGTCCATGCGACCACGCCATGCGTCTCGTGGGGGGCCCGACGTGCCCGCGTCCATCGTTTTCTACTACTACTACCAAGCAAAGGTTCCTGATCGAAACGAGCAGCAAAAGGAAGCGGGCGATGGCGACGCAGCCGCTGGCGCTGGGTATAAGAAAACGTAGCGCCGCCGGACGCCAGAAGCAGGTTGTGGTCCAAGCCTCCGATGGTCCGGGCGCCGACACTGCACACGATCACAGGCACTTCAGGTGGGCCCGCTGTCCCCGTCCCGTCCACGGACTGGGAGCCCGTGGATGAGCCACGGACGTGACCGGCGAGGGCGCTTGCACCGCCCATCGATAGCGCCGGCCCTGGCAGCATAGCCGCGCTCGCCTCCGTCGACGACTGAGCGTGGCCGAGCTCTCTCGGCTGGCGGCGACTTCAGCCGTTGCTGGCCTCGACGAGCCGCGTCGAGGTAGGGGGCTGGGGAGGCGGTCGACGTCCGCTCCGCATCCGAGACATCGAGGAGGCCATCCTCATCCTCAGTCCAGCGACGAGCCTTGGAGCGTCCCCTCGAACGCTCCCGTGGGTGGAAGGGTTGGGCGAACGGAGAGAGCGAGGACGGCGAGGTTGCAGCAGGGCGTCCCGAAGGCAGCCTGTGGCGTCGGGCTAAGCTCGCCGCAAACTGTGCTCTCTGTAACGGACGGCGACACAGAGGCAGGGGGCGCTCCCCCGTCATCGGGCCGCGCAGCCCCAGAGCCAGGCCCGCCAGCCCCCATGGCTGGGGCGGAGGCGCCGGCTCTGTAGCTGGTGGAGGTGCGGCGCGGGCGGCGTCGTTGACCGGGCAGCCGCCCCGTGGCCATCAACGCCATCTTCTTCGCCCTATAGAGGCGCGCGCGGCAGTGCCGGGGCGGCGGCGGCGGGGAGGTGGCGCATCCGCGGCCTGGTGCAGGGGAGGAGGAGGGGCTTTTGGTGGGCGAGGAGGGAGTAGGGAGGAGGAGGGAGGGGGAGGGGGCCGTTGGCGCCTAGGTGGCTGGGGAAGGAGGGCGGCCGCCAGGGGCGTTGCCGACCCTATCCCTAGATCTGAGTCGAGGTTCGGTCCACGCGTGTTCTCGCGTGATTTGTTCAAGGTATACATTGTTTTGTTCCTTTTGTATAAAAGTTTGTTCCATTAGATTGCATGATTTGTTGTAGTCATATATGTTTTTCTCCAATATCATAAACATTGTTCAGGTTTGTTTAAGTGGATCAAAGGTGGGAATATGTTTAGGAATTGAAGCAGGGTGAACTTTTTCAGCTAACGAATAGTGTTTTCATGATCCGGGCCCGCAGTCGTATATGTTTTTCCCCCATATCATAAACATCCGCGGCCCTGTTCGCTTGGGTTTGTTTGGCTTATAAGCCGTACTTTTTCAACCAACGAATAGTATTTTTCTCTCACACCAAATCAGCCAACAGTACTTTCAGCCATGGCTTATCAGCCAAATAAGCCCAAAAAAACGGGCGATGATTTGTATTTTGTATAGGAATAATGAAAACTGACTACTATGCTCGGTGGACGAGTGAAGGAAACCAAACATGCCCTTCTCAGCAAACGAGCAATTCACGCAGCAGCGCAAGTCCTCTTGTTGCAAGACACGATCACTTTAAAGAAGAATCGTGATATATAGCCACAGGTTAATCTGGCCCGTGATCATTAAAGCCGTTGCCATGAATAATCATGGTCTCCTCTGAAACCTGAATAAAACGATTCGACTGTTCTCTCGCTGACAATGGCAACCAAACCAAAACATGTCATGCAAATCCGGACAGGTACAACACGATTCAAATACTTGTACGTCAACACACGCACAGAACGCGAACAGAATCGCTCCGTTAAATCAATTCTGGCGAGCAGTACAATGCTGTCCACCATTGCCTCGAGAGTTGAGACTTTGGAGAGGTCCTCGTCACGCCTGCAGGTTGCGGAACCCGCTGAGCGCTTCCTGCAGGTGCGCTACCGCGCTGTCGTAGTTGACGAACCCCATGAACCAGAACTCGTGGCTGTCCACCGACACCAGCTGGATGAACTTCTCCGCGGGCTTCAGCTTGTTGGCTGACGGGCTCGCCGCCCTCAGCCGGTGAAGAGGAATCGCCACCTGCAATCCATTCGTCCATGATCTCGAGTTGCAGAACATGAGGGATTGGGACTGTGAGAGCGATTCTCCTACGTACGTACGTACCTTGTAGTGGCTCCATTCCGTCCTGTCGCCGCCGGAAGCCTCGTAGGACAGGGGGCTGTCGCTGCAGAAGGCGACCCTGGCCGTGGACAGGTACATGACGCCCATCACCGGGCCGGCGGCCGTGGAGACGTAGCACGCGTACGACTTGCGGAGCTGCTCGTCCGGCGGGGCGCTGAAGGCCTGCCGGAATATCTTGTCGTGGCCGCCTTCCGCCAGCACCTTGGTCCCCTGCGCGATCCTCCCCACCGCGGCCTCCGCGATGCTAGGCGCCGTCCTCACTGGCCAAGAAACCAGTTAGAATCAATTCCATAGATATATCACAAGCTTAAGTGTTGATGAACGGAACAATCACCCACAGTGCTGCCATGTGTTGCGCGACAGATCCTCGGCCTTCCTGGTCGCCTCGCCGACCTTCCGCCCCCACTGCGACAGCGCATTCTTCACCGTCTCCTTCGTGCCTGCATGCGCGCGGAACAAACAACCGATCGAGGAGAAACCGTCAGAAACAAAACAAGCAGCACCGGACAGCAGGAGATATGGCTCGAGTGACATGTGGCACCGCGCCGCACTGACTCCTGGACGACGGCTGCACGGGCGAAGGCATCGCGTAAGGGCCGGCCTCCGTGGCCGCCGCCGGCGACCAGCTTCTCGCGTCCCGCTGCATCGGTAGTTGATTGGAACGTTCCCCTGTCGTCTCTTGTCTGCCCACACTTCTCTTCCCGATCCCGATCCCGATCCCGTTCCCTCGCGCGTATCGAAATGGGGCAGGTGGTTGCTTCGGCTCGACCGATATGGCAACAGCGCAGCTACAGCTAGCTAGCAGTCGGCCGGTCGCATCGGTCAGGGTAGTAGGATACTCCACTCCACTATTTGCTGAGCGCGACGGCGACGAGGCACCTCCTACCTACCAGTCTCTGCACCGTTTCGGTTGCACCGACTCCTCTGTATCTAGGCAAGCGGTGGTGGGGCGGCGGTGTCAGCAAGGAGGAGGCTGCGGGCGGCCTGCGGAAGGGAGCGAGCGGTCTCTGTCTGTTCGTTTCTTGTCGGAGTCGGCAATGGGGACGACGGAGCCGTCCCGACCGAAGCGGACGACGCCACGTGACGGGCGCGCAGCTGTAGCGGCCCCGGCCGGAACGGCACGGCACGGCTCCTTGTATAAAAAAGGGGTCGGCGCCAGTCGAGATGAATGCAACGTTGCGGTGAGCGGACAGCGCCACAGATCCCTTGTCCGCGTCACCACCCTACGCGACTTGGCCAAGTTCAAGAAAGCCACGATTTTGGTCTCATGCGTGCGCGCTGGTGTTGTTTGCTAACTCTTGTATACGGAGTTACAAACACGCAAAATTATAGGATTTCGTGTATAGAAGATCTTATTTCATTTCTCAAATTAACTGTTACAAGCTGCCTGGACGGAAAATAGAATTAGGGGAAGGCTAAGCAAGAACCAAAGCTTCAGAGTTCAGAGTATTCAGGTAGTTACAACTTACAATGACATCTGATGAGTTCAGTTACAGCACCGTTTACTGGGCCACACAACACACCCATTCACGGCCCAGCATCTATCTTCCGGCCCAAACTATATTCTCAATACCAAAGCTGCATTTATTTAGTTCTGATCAGCCACTACTGCCGTGTCTACACATTCTCCTCCAGCTTGCGTCAAGATGGTGCTGATAGAAAGAGGCAGCGAAAACCTGCTTCATCTTTCCATGATGTTACAGCATGAGCACCATCATCCCATTGAAGTATTGAACCCTGCCTACAGGCGTAGTGGCACCTCCCCTTGAGACCAACATTTGGATTCTAGAATCTGAACTAGTAGCAGACCCTGGTAACTCCAATTTGTAAGCGATAATCCTCCTACCCGCTGCAACAACGCTTGCCATGATGTTACCAAATCATCATTCATATATAGCAAACGTCACATTCTCTGTGGATTCAGTTTGTGGCCCTACAAGGTAGTATTACTTTCCTTAGCGTTTGGGGGATGGTAATTCCCATATCAAAATATCAAAGTTTACAATGGCTCATCAAGCAAGCTAAGAACCTCTTCATAAATTGTGCTTTCTGTGTAGATGGTGTTAATTACACAACAACTTGTTAGTACACGAAGATCACTTTCACATTTCGATGAACAGATGAAGTTCCAACTTATCTTTTACATGTTATATTTGCACTGAATTCTAATTAAACAAAACTTTGAGGCTTGTAGCTTTTGATTTGGTTTTATACATCCAACCATATCTCTGGTGCAGTAGATGTTAGATTGGGTTATTAAGCAGAACCAGGAAATCATGAGACATTAATCATCTAGCTTTTGTGGCTGTGATTTAAATGTGGGGAAGAAGCCAGGCAAACACCTTTGCTCGTCACTTTTAAGAAGGCAAATGTGAGGGGCGTTCACTTAACCTATATAACTTTTCACTCACTCAAAAGTTATAAATTTAATTTATGACCATCTCTTTGAAACAAAATTATTGTCTTCGATGTAAGGAGAATCCCAACCATAAAACTATGAGATACTCATAGTCTTCATACTTATCAGTTAATATAAAAATCACACACTACCACAGAACAGGCAATCATTGCCAGACTTATACCGAAATTAAAGTGTTCAAAGAGATTTAAAATTTTGTATTAATAACTTTTTAATTGAGATGGTTCACATGTCCAAATATTTAATATAAGTTATTGGATTGGATATGAGATGATTAACAATGTCGAATGGAGACAAAATCCACATCAAAGTTGCAATACTCGATGAGATCTACAACTTGCAGCGAACAACCTTTTCATTTGAGATCGTTTAGAGTGTCAAATATACATATGAGATTCGTAAATTGGTAGTTCAAACTCAGTTGTATATAGTATCAACCGTTGCATAGCTCAGCTAACATGGATGCTCGAGAGAACGTTGGGGTCTTGATTTTGAATCCTAGATACAATATAGCTCTTTCTATCATGGTTCTCGTGTAAACACAATGTCGGGGTTATAACCCCGGGGTGTCCCAAGGCACCGATTAGTTAGCAAGTCGAGCGGCCCACGATACATCAGCCAGCAAGAGCCCGAATGACCGAGGCCCAGCTGATCCTATAAAACCCGGCCAAGCGCTAAGGGGGGTCGGCCACAGCCCCTTCATCAGACTTAGCCACACAACACATAAGAATACACACGACCTCCCCACCGCTCGACCCCATGGAGAGGAACGGGGAGGGATCAAGCCTGACCAAGCATGACTGCTCTAACAAGAGTATACACGCCGCACTTTCCCCGCAAGGACCGAGGGGACAGCGGTCACCTCGGTCCAGTCAGATGCCATCCCTACGCCACGCAACACGGATAAGACAACACCGCACGGCGGTGGCTATCAATACGACGACACACCATCCAAACATGGCCCGATAGGATGTATGTACGGTTCTACCCACTACGGGATGGGATCCATGATGAAGGCCTTGACTTAGAGGCCATCTAGACCGGCAGAAGCCACGACCCCAACGATCGGGATCATGGCCCTCAGCTCCTCAAGCCAACAAGGCGATCGATGACCCGGGGCGGCTACCAACTCCTGTACGGCGCCCCAGGAAACCAGAAAGCGATGACAAAGACCATGGCGGAGACCATGTCGCACAGGATGGCTGGTGAACCACCACCGTGCCGACAGTGCCGCCACAGCCGGCACAGTAGCACTACGTCACACCATGCCGCGATGTGGCCACAAGACCATGACGACAATCACGTCCGGACGTGCACCACAAGACGGCGTAGCTTGCAAGCCAAGTTAGCTAGGCCCTCCCTCAGGCTCATGACCCTTCGGTCGGGAGAACCTTTTGCTTTGTACATGCCTTGGCCCCAAACTCTATATAAGGGCAGCCAGGGCATCCTTCCGAGACATCCCTCTACCATTTTACACATTCTCCATTGTAGTAGGGCTCCTGGAGCTTCCCTTCAGGCAGTCCATCTCCTAGCTCTAGCTCTCCTTCCTCTTCCACCATTCCTGCACCCCCCATTGTAAGAATTTCAATGCATTCAAGTGAGGAACATGTGCTCGATCATCTCTGAGACTGGATGTAGGTCTCCGCCTGAACCAGTATAAATCCTCGTGTCTTTTGGATGCTACCATCATCTTCCTAGAGCAGCGCGACAATCGTATAAATTTACTAGTCCGGTTTACAAAACACCGACACATAATTTCTTAGATAAGAAATCATTTCCTTATCTCTCCTTAATTGCAATTACACATTAGCATTTTATCACTTGTCCCTGTCTTGGTTCGCGTGTAAACATGGTTTCTTGTATAAGGGCGCCATCAATAGTATTAGCTAGTTGCTAGCTCCAAGACAACTTCTCCGATAATGTTAAATTTTTAACATATAGTGCTTATAACATGGATAGTCTCACATAACACTCTCACATTATGTTGGAATATGTCTTCTCCCCGGCCAAGCTCTGCGCTTCGGGGACCTAGACTTCAAAGCCGATCGTCTAGGTCAGCTACGGCTCAGTGAAGAGAATGCGGCTCCGCCGCACATCTCGACGCCCGATCACGGACTGGCTCGAGCCTGTCTCGCGATCGTCGACTCTGATGCGCTAGCATGCAGAATCAACGCATATCTCGAGCTGAATCCCGAGCCAGAGGTAAGCCGACGCGTTTTCTATGTGTTAGTGAACGCTCTCGCGCAACTCTCCAAAAACGGGCCCCTGCCGCCAAAGGTCGAATTCTGGAACCCCAGCACTGCACTGCCCTCCAAAATGAGGGACGCGATCGCACTCTTTGAGCAGGGGCTAGCCAGGCGCAATGACCGTTCGATGATGCTAGAATCCTCTGGGTTTGTGGGGATGATGGAACAGGATCCAGAATCCATCTACGACCTCCTGCTGGCAACCCCTAAGAATACGGACTCCGATTCCAATTCCGAGGGGAGCTGCCATCCACTAAGAGAATGCAGCATGTTGCACCTCTCGGAGGATAGGGCGGCGCCGGTGGAGGATGCAGAGGATGACGCCTATCCGATTCCACGCACCCCCGGAGAACAGGCCAAGTATGACCAGGAGCGACTGGAACGAGCCAGGGCCCGTGAAGCTGATCAGGCCAACGAGCGCCACGACGACGGATGCCCTAGCCCGCAACACCTCGACACTGAGGGCGCGTGGGTGTGGGCTCGCCATGTGTATGATCAAATCCAATAGGGCAAGAGCGAGACGCCCGTCTTCCCCCGAGCCAACTAGAACATCGCTGTAGCCGCCATGAGCATGTGGACGGCCCCTAAACCCTCGACCGATGAGGCAAAGCGCGTCCATCAGGACCTACAAGACCTGTTGGAAACTGCGGCGATGCAGTAGGCTCAAAGCTTCATGGAGAGGCGGCATCCCGAGGCCAGCCTCGTACACATCTCCTCGGCGCGTGGCACCCCTGAGGGGCACCACGCGCCAAGCGCACTCCGGCCAGGTGATGGTGGCGCGGAGCGTAGGTGGGAACCCTCCCCAGCGCGCAGCCACTACATCAAAAACTTCAATGCCCGTCCAACTCAAGGCGCCAGGCGCCCTGGGCCAGATTGGGCAGGCAAAGATCAACTACACTACGGTGACAGCGACCCGGACAA